GAACCAGAACCAGCAAGAAACCTCCATCAGAACCAGAACCAGCAAGACACTTCCATCAGAACCAGCAAGAAACCTCCACCAGAACCAGCAAGAAACCTCCATCAGAACCAGCAAGACACCTCCATCAGAACCAGAACCAGCAAGAGACCTCCATCAGAACCAGAACCAGCAAGAAACCTCAATCCGAACCAGCAAGAAACCTCCATCAGAACCCGAACCAGCAAGACACCACCATCAGAACCAGCGAGAAACCTCAATCAGAACCAGAACCAGCAAGAAACCTCCATCAGCCTTTAGACATCCTCGTTTTTTTTTAGTTACTATTATTTTGTACTGTTTCCCTGCTTCTATTTTTATTAAATTTTTTGCATACAGATCTCTGCGCCTGAGTCCTGTTTGCATCTCACTGTGACCCCTCTCTGATAGTCTTCTCCCACCTGCCCCTGACCCCCCCCTGTGCTCTCTGCCCAGGCTGTGGCAGCGACTTCTGGGGCCCCCACTGCAGCAACCGCTGCCAGTGCCTGAACGGCGCCCAGTGCAGCCCCATCACGGGCGCCTGCGTGTGCGGCGCCGGCTTCCAGGGCTGGCGCTGCGAGCAGCCCTGCAACGCCGGCCTCTTCGGAAAGGACTGCCAGCAGCACTGCAGCTGCCTCAACGGCGCCACCTGCCACCACCAGACCGGGGACTGCCTGTGCGCCCCCGGATACGCCGGCGCCATGTGAGTAGCTGCCGGGCAAGAAAGCCCCGATTCCCTTTCAGACCCGAGCCCAAGGCCCAGAATCGCCCTCTTGATTCACCGTCCACAGCCTGGAGGGGAAGGTTTGCTTTGGCAAAAGGGGCCCACACAGCCACCAGGGCCCCCAAAAGCCATCAGGGGACCTCCAGGGCCACCAGCCCCAAGCCAGCACTATCAAAGCTGCTAAAACGAGTCGTTCCTGTTAGCTAGAAGCAGCTCTTCCTGTTAGCTAGAAGGAGCAGTGTTTCAGGGTTGGTGGGGCAGATTTCCGGGGTGGTTTTAGCAGATTTTCGGGGGCAGATTGTCGAGGTTGTTGGGGCAGATTTTTGGGGTTGTTGGGGCAGATTTTCGGGGATGTTGGGGCAGGTTTCGGGGTTGTTGGGGCAGATTTTCTGGGTTTTTGGGGCAGATTTTCGGGGTTGTTGGGACAGAATTTGGGGGCAGATTTTCGTGGTTGTTGCGGGCAGATTTTCGGGTTTGTTGGGGCAGATTTTCTTGGTTGTTGGGGCAGAATTTGGGGGCAGATTTTCGTGGTTGTTTCGGGCAGATTTTCGGGGTTGTTGGGGCAGACTTTCGGGGTTGTTGGGACAGAATTTGGGGGTTGCTGGGGCAGAATGTTGGGGCAGATTTTCAGGGTTGTTGGGGCAGAATGTTGGG